ATTAAAGGTGAGAGAAATGATATCTTGTAATGTAATCAGGTCAAAGGTTGACCATTTCAAATCGAGGAGGAATCTTTCCACGTGCGCATGTATCCAAAACTTGTACATGTTCCATGCAACATCTAAAAAACCCACTCACTAAATGTAAATGTAAATAACAAATGGCTGTTTACCATCCCCGTTCAGTTTAAAGTGTGAGGTCTCTCCTGTTGCAAGAAAAAATGTGCCTCACCATTTACAACAGGCATTCATTCTCTGCTTTTTTTTTGTATTTATAAACTTTTATTGGAGTTTGCACTGAAATTAACATCTTACATACCTGGTTTGTACATTACAAATTGCAATTAATCTACATATTGTGAAGTGAATTGGGTAACATTTTTCATAAAATATTCCCATTTCTTGTTATGAGAAGTCAACTTATTCCGTCGGACAGCAATGAAGTACTCTATCTCTTCATTCTTTGCTTTGGTGAGCCACATTTTGCTGACTCGCGAAATATTTCTTTTTTTTAAAATCAGTAACTATAATTATAATAAGATTGAAAATGAAACATGTTTCATTTAACAACAATTAATGTCTTAACGCCATGGCCTAACTCGTCAAAAAACGTGTATCACTTCGCACAACGATTTCTTAATCTACGGAAAGATTCTACAATAATGGACCATTTACGTCCTCTGAGCAAAAATTTAGCCCGCTTTTTTGTCGATTTATGGTGAACTACAGAATTTATAAGTTCACAAAACCATACTCCCTGTATTTCACTCAACACATATTTCATATAAGCGGCTTTGTGGAAGGAGAGTGCTTGATAAATTAAAGTTGTTAAGTCGTCATAATTATAGTTTGAAATTTTCAAATAATATGTTAAATGTGTACTGGAATAAATGCATCAGATACAATTTCCGCAATATACTCGTCAATAACTGAATATCCTCGAGAAGTTACGTAGCTTCGGATAAGATGTGATTGAGTTTTCAGCATCTTAGGATGTCATCAAGTCACAGAATCGCACGCGGGTTTCTCTGTTCGACGATCGAAGAGGGACTATTTTACAAAATCAATATTCGTTGTGAAGCATTTTCCATTAAAATTAGTCTCTGTGGTGTACAACCATACCCTTGAGTTGTTTCCTGTATAGCCATTAGGTACCTCCTTTTTGAATTTACAGAACGACTATTCTACTTAAGTTTCCATTGCGTCCAAGCGAAGGTCTAACATTAAAGGGCGGCAGTCGTCGTGCCGAGTCCTGTTCGATATGAGACTCCTAGCGACGTATACAATGCGTGTAAAATACATTGTTTATTTACACGAAATTCGAACGCGCGCTGCGCGACGTCCATCGCGCTTTAAGTATTTCCCGGGTAAAGGTTAAAATTGAAAACAGCTAGGACCGATATAATATATAATAATATAATATAAATATAATATAGAAAATGGAGTAGGTAATGGAAGTTCTTGGTAATTGGTGAAACTTTGCCTGCTATTGAGTTTTAAGCTAAAATGTAAGTTATGTTTACGCGCGCACCTGCAGCAAAATTCAAACAGCAATGCATGACGGGATATATATATATATATATTATTCAAGACAAATAATAGCCTAATCGATAAACGCCGTAACTTTCAGATTTGATTTTTTTTCAGTTACTCAAAATGGACGATGGGTTATTATATTAGACGAAAATACAATATTGAAACTCTGTCCTTCGCTCGCATCAGATTAAAATGTCATAAATTTTCAAAAAGTTGTTTGTTAATTTCCAATAAAAATAAATAATGTAAAATAGAAATAAATGCAAAATTGGTGTGGATTTGTTTTTTAAATAAAAAATAAATGAGCGCCCACGTAATTTTTGGAATATAACTACAATCATTTGTATTTAGTAGCGGTACGATTTTTTTAGGACGTGTTGGTTGTATGGCAGATTTTCTGAAATTATTAGCGATCAAGGTAACAATTGGTGTGTCCTCCTATCGTCACGCCAAATGACTACATCTAGAAGTATCTGTGAAGGGAACGGAACTCTGTGAAGTTCCCATCGATGTCAAGAAATAGTTTTACTAAATGGAGGCGTTACCGGCATTGCAGAAAAACGCGTCAGCAATTTGAGTTACTTCTAGTACACAGGGTGGGAGGATTCCACTACATACACTCCACATAGTAGGCCGTGAATCAGCCCCGGGCATTGCAATAAAATCTAACAGACTTCAACGTCTGCTATACAATATGAATGCAACAGTTCGACATGGTTAATGGGTATCTTCGCCGGATATACAAAGTAAGTGATGTGTTCAGCCCCAGTTGATTATATCTGAATCGCGGTGTCATGTTTCACGCCGCCCACTCAATAGCAACTGCGATCCAACTACAGGGAATTTGCCGGCAATAACTAACAAGGATGACAACAACATTCATAAATATATAAATAAACCCGAGAAAATGTTTGATAAGACCACACGTGTATACCGAATAACATGCCAACTTGACAGTAACTATATGGAGTTTATGATACCGATCAACCATCAACATCATATGACGATAAGTTTGACCGGCCACCATGAACGGAGATTGACATGTCGTAAAACTAGTGTCGTAAAATGCAGGTAATAGTTTACGTTCAGTGACCTAAATAGTACTGCGTGTGGTCACAGTGTTGGTCGCTATGCACTTCACCTCTCCAAGTTGTCATGTTTCATTGTATTGGTTGTACTCTAAATCATTAGTGAACAAACCCCGACTTTTTTATTGTTCTAGTACAGAAAGAATGAGAATACGGGAAAAATTATAAACGTACATGAATTTATTTATTTATTTGTTTTTATTTTCAGGTTTCCTAATTTAAAAAGCATCATCCGCTCACCACTCGTAGTTATCAATATGTAAACAGCAATTACTGAAAAGAAACCGAAACAACCGATATGGGGGGGGGGGGCGTCTTCCAAGCCCATGGATTTCGATTGGTTCGATCCTTAATTGCTCTCAAGATGTAAACGTCGATATTGCTCGAGGTCCTAAGGTGGACCAAAACTAATCAACACAAATACCAAAGTAAATTGATGAATAGAGCTTTAATTGCAAGGTATTTAACTCACTCGTCCAAGGTGCCATCACTTTATACACTGCCTTTTCTTTTCCAAGTAAATCCGCGTTCTCGCACAAAGTAGGTCAATTATAAGGAGATGCGCCTAAAAATTACATAATCTGCATATTTAAAAGGCAACTAAGATTATAGTAATTTGCTGTCAGTCTAGTCTACGCGACCTTGGAAGACTGGATTCCTTTGGGAGGCTCCAGCACTGACTGAAGTTAAAAGCTTTCGTTGCCATACTCTATTTCTATTATTCAATTCAAAATGGCCGCCGGGGAACGGTGAGGTGTAACACTACGAAGGAATTCGCAACGTCTTTGTTTCCAAGGGAACCATTAAGGGTGTCTTTTTTGTTTATATTTTTCTACAATTTAAGCAGCACTAAATATTTATAGTCGCGTACAAAGTACAATTTCTCTAGTAAGCCCAGGCCAGGTTTGATGATATCCCTTTATCTGAAAACAATTAGGAAGCTTTCGTATTGTTTCTTTTCTTTTTGGGTACGTTTTCTTTAGCAACATACTAGCGAATTACCCGGTTGCCGGGTATTCATTATATATCGTCAAACACATCGTGTGAGTTGCGGTTTGCGAGGACAAAACCACAATACATTCACATGCCCTGTAGCTATTTTATTTGTGAAGTAACAGCACACTGCTTCCTTGTGTGGGGGGAACAACACTGACCACCGCGGATACAAACATTGATATCGTGTAACAACTCAGTGTTATTTTTGTTTTGTTTTTCACGCGAAAATTTATAATGATTCCATTGTTTTAGTATCCATAGAAAGCGGTGATCGATCATGATCTCTTATGTCCAACGTTAACAAATAAGTATGACGCATGGAACATCACGCTACAGAGTGTTCCGAATATTCGTGTTTGAACCATGTGATATATAAATGGAGAGCTTGTCCACATGTTTCGAAAATAAAAATACACCGTCGTTTTTGTTCGTAAAGCAGGTACGGAGGTCAGATTAAAATAGCTACAGTGCGATGTTAAATCTTTGTTTACACCACCAAATTAGAAAAAAAAATACTCCAAACCACTATAAAACACGTTTTATATCAACATCTCCGCTTGTAAAGGGAACATCCCTCTTCACATATCCCTAAAATACCACTCAAATAGTCATAATATCCGACAAAAGCAAACTGTCAACCGTATATGCGTCAATCAAAATACTGACCCGGAGCCGTTAATCAAGTCGACATAGAAGTGACTAATGATGACGAATAGCAATACGGCACCGTGTTTAATTCTGGGATGACGTCACAAGAACATTTGTATGAAAGATTCGATCTTGACGCTCGACTCGGAAGCAGATCACATCTTTGAGTAAAACAGACAAACATTCAATTTTAAGAAAGATGGGTGGGAAGCTTATATTCCGACCTGTATTTGAGTTTTCACCCCATACAGCGTTTCTATGAAGCACCCCTCTTGAAAATAATTTATTCTAGTCACGTTGGATTCGAAAGGAGGATTTAGATCAGTACAAGTAAGCCTTGAAAATGTGTGCTTCCCACTGAGATACTACTGGTTCATGTGGTCATGTGACTAACAGCACGTTTCTGATCTAATAGTTTTTTTTTGTGAATGAAACATTTTTTTGTAAATTGGAGTGTGACAGACGGAGCAGTCTGGCACAGGATTACGATATTTTGCACGCCATGTCGCTAACATCGAGATTAGCATGTGGGTGTAGTAAACAAATGAATCCGACTGGTGAGAGATAATTTACATATTAGCTGTCCGCAAGCACAGTAATTTTAAGGCGAACAAGGTTTCTTTTGTTGACGGTATATTGTTGGAGGGGGGAAACGTCAACCTGGCCTGCCATTGAGTTTTGATGGGCCCGTGTTGGGCATGTAAAAATCGAAAGAACGACGTTTTCACTTACCTGACCACGACATCCTCGTGGCCGAGGAGTGAAACTTCCAATTTCTCATTATAGTCGAATTTCTTAAGCTCTCCTTCGAGTTTTTTCTTGAGCTGACCACTAGAATATTGTTGCACCAAATGTGCGTAGCTCTCTAAAGTTTGACATAATATATCAGCCCACAAACAGTGTGTTTTCTCGCTCGGATCGGCACGTACAACTTGCACCTTAGGAACCGCCCCGTAACTGGTGATTCTCTGTAGAAGAGCACGTTGGAATGCCCGTGCTGTATGCACCATGTAACTCAGATAAAAGGTCTGTAACGATACGTCGATATTCTGCACCGAATTCTCTACCTGCAGGGTGACCTCTGTACTGTGAGACTTATCCGCGCCAATACTATCCGTGCTAATGTCCACCGACCCATCATTTACTGTTGATCCCGGCCATGAAAACGAAGCCGGGCTGTTGAAATCGGACGCCGATGCGCAGTGCATTGCTGGTTGGCGTCCAGTGCCACAACACTCTGCGACCGCCGCTTATTAGTCAATCGGTTGCCGTCCGTTGTCCGCCAGGTTTTCAGCGCTGTATCCTATGCACGCAGCCATGTTGAACTGTGACACATACATACACAATGCGTACGGTGTATGTTCAGGTGAACTCAGTGGATCGTATCTAATACGATGTTTTAATATCTAACTCCACACTCACGGGCTGATAATATTTTCACTTCAACTATAAATGGAGGTGTCTAAAAATAACACTCAAATCCAGAAATACGCAGCGTGAACAGACCATCATAAAAAACGGATAAATTATGATAATTATAAATATGACATTGCAACGAGGTTTTGTATACGCTTGTATATACCTCATGCATATTATCTCGTGATATATTCTAACGGTCTCATTTATCCAGGTATTAAGTACAACATCTTACTATCGTATTTATTTATTTGCAATGAATTATATAAAATAAAAATAATAATTTTAATTTTACGTAAAGTGAGTCGTTAGACACTCGGCACGATGCTTTAATTAATTAACTGTTAATTACGTTACTAGGTGATTCATTTTCATCGAATAATGACGTCATTTTTATCTCAGTCTTATAATGATGTATATTTCATACGCGGAAAGAAACTACGTTACCGCGGAGGTAATTGGTTTGATTATAGGGATGTTCAATGATAAAAGTGGGTCGATTGTATACCAGGGATGAATAAATGTGCCGCCTTTAATGAATTGTCGACACTTTTTCAAACTTGAATGGTCACTACCCCTGAGTGCAGGCAGGTGGGGGTAATTTCTTTTTTCCCGCCTTTGTCACGTCCATTCTCATAGTTTGTTCCGGTTCACCGGGCCCGTTGACGTCTGTCCCAGGCGCTTAATGGAATTGCTATACAAAATAAACACGTTTTAACCTTCACTGTTTCCAAGATTGAGTTACGCTGACCTCCCAATATGTAACCCAAGTTCTCTTCCTTGGAAGATGACCACGTACTAATTATTAACACAATACCAGACCCTGGCGGGTTAATACAGTTTATGATATGGTTACCGTCACTGACCGCGACTACACATCCATAATGGTTGGTCGGATAGTACATGTAATTAAGTTACAGTTTGAACACAAATATAAGTTATCCAGTAAAAACAAAGAATAACTGTTCTCAAATAAATATTTTGTACAAATTCTGACAAATTGGTACTGTTTTAATCGGCAAGTCCAGAAATGCAAATGAGTTGATGACGTGGGTAAAGGCGAAACGTATTGCAAAATGCAAATTGAAACATATGTCACTGTCCCATAAATTAAATGTGGCGCTTTCTGCAGTCAGCTTTGTCTTACTAATAGCTTGAATAAATCTAACGTCGAACTGGCGAATTTCGCACAGTATAGCAATATATTGACATATTTTCGCTGAATATTCAGTGATACCGTTCGTTCTACATATTTTCGACACCATACGCCTGCGTACGTTGTCCCCACTGCACGTGCACGTGACTAGTGTAATGTACAACAACATCAACGCAATTATCACGACTATGATTTGTAAACAGCCAATCTAATGTGAAGATCTGTGATTTGAGTAATCTTTTGCCAGTCCATAAAATTATACACAGGGTGTTTTGTTTGGCAATTTCAGGATACACAGTACAGGGCTGCAGTGAGTCACGGTCACGGCTACTAATTGTGGCTGAATAAAGTCCAACAAACATGAAATGGAAGACTGAATACAAAACACCAAATAATGCAATTCTACATAAAAACAAACTGAACCAAAATGAAAAGGCTTGTGAACAGAGGCTCTGAAATTGGTCGGTTTAAATAGTTTCAAAATAGTGTAGTGTGTCATATATTCTGCATGCCCCGGAATAAATACAACAAACAAACAAACAAACACGCACAATTACAATTCGAAGAATCTCATGCCACAGGCGGCGCTATAACAATGAAATTATACAAGTTCCTGAGCAGAGTATCAAAACAAACTGACGTACTACTGTGCTCGCCGCGTGTGGTAGTTTTCGTATCTTGGAGGCATCAGAGATACGGCTCTGGTATAGCTAATTTTAAACTCACATGGTCATTATTTCCATCCGGTCCGCGAATCTAATATGGCATCTGGTAATCATGATCTTCCAACTTGAACTTGAAGTGACAGCTGGACTGTGAATAATGATAACAACGAAAAAAAAAAAAAAAAAACATTCGCCAGTTATTGTTGCCGTGATCAGAATACAACATACATAGCCGGTCGTCAAACACTGTACGAGGTTCCGTTTTGAAGATGATTTACTCAATTTTTCTAAAATTCACTTTCGGACTGTATTTGATGAAAAAAGACTTGAAGTCATATCATGAGCAATGGTCGAAATTTGAGAGGAAACACTCCCGATATAGTAACTGAAGCAACCTCGGCGATGGAGCTAAGGAGCTTTTATCATTGTGTGTTTACAGACAATAACGCAAGTCCAATCAATATTGTATATGTTTAATTTGCTTCATGAATGCAATGAGAACGTGGGTATAAAGTTCATGGTCCGTGTTAACCATGCTCCGCTTCTCACTACAAATAAAACGTCATGCAACTGTAAGTCAGTTCTGTTACGCACATAATGGATATTTGATAGCCTTCCCGGTACGGTAGGATTATAGTGTAACACCATTTATTTTCACTATTTTGATGTTTTGAGCGTATTCAGTGTGTTTTAATTCCATGTTTCAAGGAGACAATGAGTTTCTTTGTTATTTTACATGTTCATATAGATTTAATTTAGAGGATTTTACTTACTATAGATGCATTAATTATTCACTTGGTTTTAATTTTGCTATTTTCGCTTATAAGTACAATCCACTAAACTACGCGAACATGTAAAAGAACAATAAAACTCCTTTTTTCTTTGACAAATTCGTAAACTTAAAACAGTGAATATGCTAAAAAAAACAAATTAGTGAAATTAAATGTCAGTGAAAATAAATAGTTTTACAGTATCGGGGAAAATAGAGAAATTAAAATCCAGTGAATAATTAATGCATTTACAGTAAGTGAGAAAATTCGACCACTGCACTGCTTCTGTTAATTGTCATTGTCAACCGTGGTTAGCGTCTGAACAGCGCAACCGTATGTTTCACTGACATTGGATCTGGCCACTGAGTTATTAGTTGAGTCCGAGTCAGTTTCAACTTGTCTGATTGTTATGATAGCTGTATTGTTACAAGACTGGTATATTGATCACTGGTGTCGATTAAACTTGTAAAAACATTTTCTTCCGAGGTGGTCACCCATTCGCAAAACACAGAAACGTCTTTGTATGTATTTACATGTATACACCGTAACTGACACGAATGGACCTCCTGGAGGAAACCTGTGTCACAGAATCGGGTGAAAAATATTACTCGCTGAGCCATTGTTATAAACGCAATGACTTCTTGTGCCAACAAGGAACGTGTCGACGTGCAAATGTGAATTACATTGTGGTACCCTAAAATACTGCGCCACATACGGTAGATTGTAGAAAATGTTTGTTTTCTGTTTCGGAGTATAATTTTACAAAGCAAACCAACCTTGTTTTAAATAACAAACCTTAAACATTGAGTATTTATCGTGTTGTTATGATATTGAATAAGAATAGTAAAGCCTAATTCTATTATAATTCTATATAAATAAATGGACATTATATGAGACCTATATATCTCGCGCATGCGTGGCACGACGACTACCGCCCTAAACAAAGATGGCGACTTTAACTGTTCGCAAATCAGCGAGTACAAACTGAGGCGTTTCCAAGCTTTAATTAGGTAATTTTTTGGTGATTGAAAGGTATCGCAGGAGTCACTGGCGGTATTCAGTGCAAGTCGAGCACAGGTCAAACCTCATACTTAAACCTCCATTTGAATAGCACATTGGATTATATGAAAATCAATGTTTATCAACACAAATGTTGCACATGCGCAGCGTGACGACCACCGCGCTTTAAGATGCGCACATGCTGTACTGTAAGTGTCACAGGGCGGTGTTTTGTGGTTTACCAGGTTTTATTCTGAAGAAATAAGACCTGGTTTTCTCTTCGAGTATGCCTATATCGTGCCCCACGAGTATGTGAATTACTACATAAATTCTTATGCTGCCCTCTACCGGTAAGTTTGACATCAACTTATGACATCGTCACTTGAGGGCAGTATATCAAATTCATGAATACAATTGCCAAAATGGATTTATCTTTTTCGCGGAAGGATTTGGTGTTGCTAACATTTTTTATTTTTAAATATACGCTACATTTTGCTACATTCACTAATCATTCTGGACCAAACTGACAAATAATTTGACAGACCGTGATGCCTTAATGTGGAAAAATACGAATTCATGAAATTTAAGTCCTTGAAATTTCTTTTATATAATATATGTGATTATTGGGGGGTGAAACTTGCTCAGATTGACTCTCAAAATCTAAACCCAGCTCTTTACAACACATTATGTATTGTGAAAATCAATTCTTAGCATGTACAAAGCAAATATTTTTTTTGAAATATCATTTTTTCTGTATTTTGTCAAGGTAGACAGAACATTATTCTAGAGTCTTGGGTCAATTTGAAATTTCATGGAATGTTTTTTTTTTTCTTGTATACATAGTCCCTGTTTGGATGCAGTCTGTATGTATGTGTGTATGTGTGTGCATGTCCACTACTATCTTGGACATGCCTGGGCCAATCACATTCAAATTATACACATTTATTATATATCTTGGGACACATAAGCATGTCTTTTTGTTTTACAATCTGGTTCAAGACAGCCAAAGGGTGGACAATTATTTGCTTAAAATTCATCATTCATCTAGCATTTCCTCCATTCTGGAGCCTGATATTAGTCATGTATAAATTAATTTCGTTCAAACTTGGTATATACATTGGACATAACAAGACCTTGATGCATTTTCAAGATTGAATTTAAAATGGCCAACTGGCGGACATTTTTTTAAACAAATGCTGATCAGGAGTCTGACCAATGTCTGACATGCCTTGACCAATCATGTTCAAACTTTATAGGTACATTATGTCACACATATATTTGTTTGAAGATCAATATGGCCGAGTGGCAGTCAGTATAATGTTAAGATTGATCAAAATCAAGCATTTCTGCCATTCCGAACATAGATCTCGGTTAAACCACTAAAATAATTATTACAGAGCATTGGTATTGGTTTTATATAAACAAACATACTTTTAAGCCAGTTTCATATGTTGCATGAAACCTTCATCAAACATATGTTGACCAATACATTTTAACCCAAACCTACATACAAATCTGAATACAAACCAAGCATAATACTGTTCTAAATTTGTATTCAAGAGGAAATTGACAACTTCAAATATACATGAAATTGTCATAGTAAATGTTATCACAGAAAAATAAAAAGTACAGATTATAATAATTACATAGTGTAGAAGAAACAGCCTCATTTTTGGGAGTTAAAAAAATATAGTATAGTAAAAGTTATTAGACAGAAATTAATACAAAATAGGTTTATTCTTAAACTAGATTAAGTAGGTTAAAAAAATTAGTTTCCATTGAGACAGCAGTTTTGTATAGTATAAGATTTTGGGAGTAGTTTTGCCTAAAATTACTTAAAGGGCGGTGGTTGTTGCGCCGCGTCCAGTTTGATATGGGACTCATAGCGATGTACACAACACGTGTAAAATACATTGTTTACATGAAATTTGAATTCGGGCTGCGCGACGACCACCGTGCTTTAAGAATACTTTTGAAGTAATATTTTCCTTTGATTTCTAAATGAGATTGAGCAATTCTAGTATTATGTTTATCTCCATTTTATCCACACCAAATATGTCTTCAAAAAACATGTTTATACAACATTATACAAAATAAACTGATTTATAAAGTTATTATGAAGTTATAAAAATTTCTGTGAAAAAAAAAGTCAAATAGCATGATTATGAATTATTCAGTTTTCTGTAATAACATATCTTGACAAATATTGTCACTGAATCAGTGAACATTTAACTGGAGTTGTTAAATCAGTTCAAGCCAAAATCAATTCAACCCAAACCTCCACAGTGTCTCAAATGATCATATTCCAGTATACAGTATGGCAATGGATGATAAATATAAATTTGATATTACAATGCTATGCTACATAATGTACAATGCCTCAAACATCATGTAAGAACTGGTCTGTGGAGTATTAATAATGTACTGCTAAAATACTGTAAAATGACTAATTTTCACAGGGTTAAAATTTCGCTGATTTACCATTTCAGTCATATTCAGTGGGTTTTAAATTCACGGTTTTGTCATTTAGATAATGCTAAATTTGACATATTCACTGGGTTTTAATTTAGCACATTTTCCAGTCAGAGAAGGTAAGAAAAATTACAACCCAGTGAATAATTAATCCTTTTACAGTAGTATACAACAGTGCATGTTTTTTTCTAAAAGCAAGATTAAATAAACTGGGGTACACGTTTAGTTTCACTTTGAGCTTCATAGGAGAAAAACATCATGCCATCACTCTGTGACCATGAAACAGGTTTGTGAAAGATATAGGGACCTATTTGCATTTGCGTGCCATGATCAACTATATTCAAGTTTAATTTTTCTGGCAGTTTAGATTTAATTTTGGATCTGCTGCCCATTTTAAACTCATGCATGTAATATGACATTAGTATGTTTAATCGCACAAGCTGGAGTGTGTTTACAACTGTAAATGCCATAGTTTTTGTCTGCATTTTGTAAATGCACAACAAGGAGATGCACCAGTGTACAACACTGAACCTACATGTATGTTAATTTAGAAAAATACAAAAAATGTATTGCAGCTTTTTCATTTGCTCATGAATAATTTAACACATAACAGTTGACAAGTTGGCATAGGCATGACCTTTCTATTACCCATTTTTTTTTAGAAACTTTCATTTGAAATCCAATAGCTCAGTCATTAGAGGCTCTACCTGTTGTAGTTGATGATGTGGCTTCGATTGTAGTAGATCAGTACTTTGCAGCATAATGATGCCAGACCAGATAACTGAAACAGTAAACCAACAGGGCGGAACATTCATACGATGTCAAAAGAATTGAGGACTGCCCCAATACTAAGTGAAAAATAGTGTACATGTACTTGATATAACTTGTGTGTCTTCCAAAAATAATGATATCTAAATATATTTTGTTTATTTATAAATGTAGCTCCTCCTGCATATATACCATATGTTTTTATCGTATTTCATAGAAGACAAATTCTTATGAATTTCATGAATTAGTGAACATTTTCTCTGCTGTCTTATGACCAATAGCATTACTGACTGCCATAAAATCAGAAAAATTCATAGTTTTAAAAATTAATAAAAGTACTCTGGTTACAATAGTATAGGATCTCAGTTTCCTGATGCAATGAAGAATAATCAACAAGTTAGGGGTTAGGTTTGTCTGTATCCGGTACATTAAGTAGTATGGCTGCCTGCACTGCATTGATGACACCCGGTATGTGAGCAATACCACAAAGAACATCAGTAGCGCCCTCTCTGTCAAATCAAAGCAAAAACAAGTATTTATTTAATTGAAGAAATCTGATTTTCACAATAAACCCAACTAAATATATTTTTGGAGGTTCCAGAATTCCATCTATGCATCATAAAATCTGTAATAGAAGCTGCATCCCTAATAATTGAGAACCAAAAATTTAGCATTCCCAAGATGTGCAGATGCTCTAATAGAAGAGCATCCCCTCTGTTGCATTGTACCATTTTAATAGAAGCCGCTGCTTTTAATACTGATTTTACAGTATGTGATTTACATGTATCTGCAAAACCAATGGTCTACGTGTATGAGCTTATTACTGATGTGTGTCTGTGACATCATCTTCATTTGAAATTTTCATGACAGTAGCTACATGTACTTGCTATTCACAATGTGGTTGAGCTATATGTTGGTCAATACAAACACCATAATCCCTTGGCCAGACTATTTTCACATTAAAAAAATACTTGAACTAATTCTTTACGGTGAGACATGGAAAAAATCAAAGAAAGCTTAGAAAGAACTCCCATGTGCTGAGAGTATTGGAGACACATTAAATATATTTCGAAATTACTTAGCTGAAAACTAATTATGCAAATCAGAAAATTAATATGAACAGATTTGAGTGTAAAACTAATGAGGTCTGCGCAATGTAACAGAAAATCTATGTTTCCAAGTTTAATTGAAACGTGATTAGAACCAAAAAATTATGAATTATTATGCTTATTATGGAATTAATATGAACAGATTTTTACCCCAAACTAATTAGGTTTGTACATTGTCCTAGAGCA